AAAAAGAAATGTACATGTATAATGTGGTAGATAAGCACTTGCAGATTAGGTAAAACAGACAAGTTGAACATGGTTTTGAACAAGTCTTAGCCGGTGTGTTGAAGGCTTCATAACAGACATGATGGTCATGATGATCGTCAGAGCGAAGGTAGCTTTCCCGATCTGTGCCTGTGTCTGTCACATCTCAGCCCTGGTTCCAGCTCATAGCGCAATAGCCACTGCAAACACACTGACGACACAGTACATGGTGCGGTTCTCCCACCTCACTGTGCAGCTTCCTGCGAAAAAAACACACACACATATACTAGTATTAACTCAGATGCACAAATGCTTAATCTTATATAGTTTATCTGAATCATATCTGGCAAAATCATGTGATAGTGCCACATAATTGCCATACTTTTGACAAAATACAGGTTTTAAAATGAGTATTAGTGATCACCATGCTTTAATTTACTATAGATGCAATGAATATAACACACAAGAACACATATTTGGGTAGCTGACATGAAATTTAGAAATTCAATGGTGTTAACTTCTGCATGCAGTAGTTAATCTAAAATTATTTGAAACTTTTCATTAGAGACTACGGAATATTTGAACTGTAAAAACACTGCAGAACTTCAAAATAATAATAATAATAATTTAATAAAATAATAATATTATAAAAAAGATTTACATTTCCCATTATACAAATGTAAATTAAGCAAGTCTTTATATAAAATACAATGACATTTAATAAAAAAATGACAAGAATTAAATATAAAAACATGGACATATTAACTGAATATTCAAAGAAGCAACAGAAACATACTTCACCAAATTAATGATATGCACTCAATGCATCTACTTCAACTTTATTTGTCAGAGAAATATCAAGAGCGAAGGCCAATGTGGTCTATATAATGGACATATTTATATCAAATACATGGACCCTTTACAAATTTCTGGAGTTCAAAGAAGCAGAATGGTCATAGCTGGGAAAAAATTCTGTAGCTGTCAATGGGAGAAGACAGCAAATATAATTTCTGTATTCGTTTAAATTTGTGTTGTTTTTTTAAAAGAAAATATGCAAAACTGTACAAGATTTGCTATGTTGATAGTTGTGCAAAAGCATCGTCAGCCTGTGAAAAGGGTCCATTAATTGCTATATCCTTTTGGTCAGGATGAGCTAACACTATTAAAGCACTAAGCGATTCTAAAGAACTAAAAGCTTTACCGTCAGTGGTAGTGTCCCAATAACAAGAGTTGGCTGTGTGAAGACCTGCACCGCTTTTCTGCATCACAGCACAGTTGACTGAAATATATACATAATATATAGAATCAACAACTGCACTTTGTATAATGTCTTTCAGCTTTGTGCAAAGCTGATGTATAGCCTTATAAATATATTATCAGATTTCAGATCGATAACCTATTAAATATTTGTATACAAGATGAACTCAATCGGAAAGGCTCGTACCAATATACTTGAACGGTTTCCCCTGTTTCACTAACTGAGTGAGAGTGAGTTCGACTATGCTGGCTGTCCACTGGTTCACTTTGTTCTGGCTGTAGTCCACACCTCCAATAATACTCTCAATGCACTGACCGATAAATACAAACACACACACACACAGAGAGAGAGAGAGAGAGAGAGAGAGAGTTAATGGAGCAGACTTGCACTCAAATAAATAGGCTAGCATTAATCCTGCAGGCATGAGTTAGACATGAGACTAACAACAATGCAATTCATTATTCATTCAGTGAGATAGGCTACACCACACTAGGATGCTTAATGTTTTTGACAGTGAACATTACCTCCTTAACAACATTACTTGCTTCATCTGGGCTGAAAGACATCTGAAATTAGAGGTTTTGAAAGGTGAAAAGAGAAGAACACAGTCAAACTGGTTTAAAGATGTATCTACAACATTATATTTAGTGACCAAAATGTACATTTTAGACATATATGTTAGGGGGAAAAAATCTCAAAATGTAAAAAAAAAAAAAAAGTTTATGAATACATAAATGTTGATATTTCAACGGTTTTCCTTTATGATTCAAGCTGACGTTATGATTTGGCCACACCCTGGATCATTTTCCATAAGAAACGTACAACAAAAAGATGTAAATTATACATCGAAATGAACGTTTAGTGATCTGTGTATATGTAAAAGATGTAATGACGTCAAAATATGAGCGTTAAAGGATGATGAGGTGATATTATGTTTGTTTCTATCCGGATGGAGCGGTTAGCAGGCTAGCTGTAAAAGCCAATCTAACGTTAACGTTACTATTTACCAGCTTTGAAAGCTTATAAAAATAATAATAAAATGCTTATATAACACCTACTTCATCTCCAGAATGATACTCCTCCATCTTATCAGTTTTAAAAACAAAAATCTGGAGTCTGGACAACAAACTCTGTTCAGATGATTGTAGCTTTTCTCTCTGACAAGAAAAGCTGATGTTAGCAACATAAAGGCGATTGAGTGCTGCCACCTACAGTCGCTCTCCGACTCAACATGTCCATCCATGATCGATCGATCGATCTATCTATCTGATTCTGTTTATATTTATTCGACCATAAATACAATAAAAACAGTAATATTGTGAAATATCATTACAATTTAAATGAACTGGTTTCTGTTGTAATATATTTTAAAATGTAATTTATTCATGTGTCTGATGGCAAAGCTGAATTTTCAGTGTCACATCTAAGGTAATTTCTTCTTATTAGCAATGTTGAAAACAGCTTTAATAAAAATATAATGTGTTTTTACTGTATTTTTGATTAAAAAAATAAATAAACAAATGCAGCCATCGTGAGATTGTGAAGACTTTCAAAAACATTTGACCGCTACTGTATATATATCAACAAGGAAGAGAGACAGTTATAAGTTGATGTTTACTTGTATCACATCAAATACAAAGGTTATTAGACGATTCTCACAAAAATGGACAAAAAAATTGTCACAGTACCCTGAAATTTTAAATATATAAAGTGCACAGGTGCTTTATAAGTCTTTCATCAAATGTAAATAAATAGTTATAAAAACACACATACATATATATTATATTTCTAGATATACGGCACATGTTGGTAAATTTACTCCCCAGTAATGACTTTAAGAATAAAGTTGTATAAATCAGACACTGCAAACATATAAAGGAAAAATATAAAAAAAAAAAAAAACCATTATAGCTCACAACTATACTTAAATTAAAATTAGACTCCCTAACTCAGTTTTCAGTTAAAGCTGGAAATAATCTGTGGTCTGCTTTGCAGCACAAGGCACTGTAACATTAACACCACCAACACCAACAGGATGTTGCTTTGTTAAATTTCAATTCTACTTCCTGTTTTTGTTCCAGTCTCTTTTTTCAATTCAGAAGATGGTTCAGCATAAACAGCATGTCAAACCCAGCTCAAAGGTGTCAAAGCAGATTGCAAGTGGCTGAAGGTGATCGACTGGATGCAGTGGTTGGGTCTCCGATCTGTGTTCGACTGCTAGAACTCTCTGGTCCTCGAGTCTCTAAAATCTGAGGTGGACCATCATCTGCCGGTTTGCCTGAAGCGCTGCTCTCTGCTCGATTCCCTTTGGTGGAAGATCTCTTGAAAAGAGAAAGCTGAAGGTAGGAAAGAAGAAACTGATCAAACAAAGGTTAAACTCTGATGTGCAAATATTTTATGCTATGCTGTTGTTCGAGTGTTATGCATGATTGTGAGGTGTTTATTATGAAGATTAAAAGGTTCGAGTGGTTAAATACCCTGTTTCTAGAGCCGAAACGAGTTTTAGGTTTGTCTTCTGAAACTCCATTCCTCTCCGACTGTGTCTCCTCCTTTATAAGGGTCGCAGGATCAGAATCTACAGAATTCACAACAACAACAAAAGAGAAAGACAGAAAAAAGCTGCTTAAAATCAATACATTTCATTTATGTTCGCCAAGTTATATTATAGTACAGGGCAATCACTTTCTACTTAATCATGGACATACTGAACCATAAAGATGACTGGTATATCAAAGGGCTCATCCCTTTCATTTAAATAGTTTAAAGGTGCTTCTCAATACTCGAATTGATGCTTCCTCGTTTCCTCGCTCCTCCGTCCTCCATCTCGTGACCTGGAAACTGACTGAACTCAGCCTTCTAGACGGGTATCTCAAATCTCGCTGCACTGTGAGAAGGCGAAGGATGAGGAGCGAGGAAGCTTCCTGAGGAGTCATGAGCGAAGATACACAGGTGTATCCTTCCCTTGCATCCTGAGGGGGTGGAGCTAAGACACAAGGAAAAGAAGCGTGCAAAGGAGTAATAATATAAATAATAATATAAAAAAAAGGTCATTGTGAATTTTTAATCTCACAATTCGGACATTTGTCCTTGCAATTGTACATTGGGATTTTTCCCCCTTAGAATTGAGAGTTTACATCTTTATATCTTTTATGTTGTTTTTTAAATACAGAATTCAGAGAAAAAAACTCTGAACGTCAAGATCTAAATTTATAATTTGAGAAAAAGGTCGGAATTGTGGGATATAAACTGGCAATTGTGAAAGAACAGTTGCAACCTTTTTTGATATTTTTATTCTGGGGTCTGTATGGGAATATGAAAGGGTGCTGAAAAGAAAAAAACTCACCTTTTATCAGCCCATCAGGGACGGATGCCTCTTTTATAATCTGCCTTTTCTGTACGAATAAGAAAATCACATCACACAAACAAATCAAAGCAATAGAGCCACGCTAAAGCAGTGTGTTCGTACTGAATTAGTCTAAATGAGCTTTCAGGGCACCTGTATGTCTGGCTCTGTTGTGCTTTCCTCCTGCTCCTCGGTCTCTTTTCTCTTCTCGTCTAGGACATCTTTCTTCTCCTCACACTTTTCCCCTTCTTTTTCCTCTGGATGCTCTTCCTCATCTTCCTCCTCCTCATCCTCTTCTTCTTCATCATCATCTAAATATTCTTCCTCCTCATCTTCTCCCTCCATCTTTCCATTGATCTCATCCGTCCGGAGCTGGAGAGATCGGTGGTGGTTGTGCAAAAAGTGAGAAAAGACAATCAGTGACTGGAATGAGTGACCGTGAAACACAAAACGAGGGTTGAAGAAACTAGAATGGCGGGAGAGGGTTCAATGTGAGTCAGGTAGTCTTTTTCATTTTACAATGAAAATGAACTAACAAACTACATGTATAAAGAAACACAAGTAGGTGGGTACATGACTAGGGATCTGTTTAGGAGGACTAGAAAAGGACCAAGTCTACAGAGAGAGGGAGTGCAATATAAAGCCAGCCTCACCTGTCCAATGAAGGATTTTCTGTTTTCTGCCTGATTGCAACTGCTTTGAATTTGGAGATATCTTAAATGGCTTTCTTTATTTGCTTAAAATTAAAATTGGCTTATTATGCTGCTGAAACTCTCTAGTACAGCATGATAGATTTATATCACGTCGTTTTCTTTATGTAAAGCATACAAAATGTTAGCTTTAAAAGTCACAGTTTGGAAAATCAGTGCTTTTTATATATACATACTAAATACTAAATTGGAAAACAAGTATAAAAAACAGGTATTCATTTTAAAACACATGCAAATAGTTATAAATAAATGAAAAGTTTATTGGCTATTAAATGTAACAAAAAACTCACAGAACAAGCACAAGTGCAACATTTGAACTAAATGCTACTTAATGATATAAAATGTCCAAATATTTTACAGTCATGAGCTGCCATTTTACTTTACATTTTCATTTTTGTAAGAGTTCTGACTTAAAGGCATCTTTAAATGTGCCCTGTTTGTATTTGTGGGAATTTGAAGTCACTGATAGTGCTGATTCAAGGTCATTGGCAAATCAAGCACACTTGTTAGTAAACGAACATGGCTGTCCACCACATACTTATGTACTAAGGCACATCATGAGGTCTTCATTACTGCATTAGCATATCATTACTTATGAAAACATAAATAAATAAATAGAAAAAAAAAAAACGTAAAGCAAGATGTTTAATAAAAATGCCATGGGGAAATAAGAATATTTAAAATGTATATCACAAAAGCAAGAAGCAAGAAAAGGCATTACATAATACTCAGTAAAAGCAGATAGAGGTTGATGAATTATTTTAAATTGAGGTATTGAGGAAGAACATCATCCCAGAACTGCTGAGACTCCTGGGACTCGTCGTCTGACTGCTGGCGTTGTGCTCGGGCCTGTTTGGCTTTTGTCGGCTGTTTTGTTGTTTTCACACCTGACTTTTGTTTGGTGGATTCAGAGGCTTTTTCACGTTTTCTTTTGGCTTTGGCTTTTTCTTCCTCCTCCTCCTCTTGTTCTTCTTCCTCCTCTTCTCCCTCCTCATCCTCTGCTTCTTCTGCCTCCTCTTTTTCTTCAGACTCTTCCTCTTCTGCTTCTTCATTGCCTTCTTCCTCTCCATCTTTGCTCTCCTGCTCTTCTTCCTCTTCATCATTGTTCTCCTGCTCTTCTTCCTCTTCGTCTTTGCTCTCCTGATCTTCTTCCTCTTCACTTTCCTGCTCTTCTTCCTCTTCACTCTCCTGCTCTTCTTCCTCTTCACTCTCCTGCTCTTCTTCCTCTTCACTCTCCTGCCCTTCTTCCTCTTCATCTTTGTTCTCCTGTTCTTCTTCGTCTTCGCTCTCCTGCTCTTCTTCCTCTTCACTCTCCTGCTCTTCTTCCTCTTCCTCTCCTTCTTCTTCATCATTGCTCTCCCGCTCTTCTTCCTCTTCATTTTCTCTCTCTTCCTCTTCCTCATCATTCTGACTCATTGCTTCCTCTTCATTGCTTTCACTCTCTTCCTCACCAACTTGAACTTTCTCACTCTCCTCCTCTGCTTCACTCTCACTCTCCCCTTCATCATCATCTTCAGTCTCACTTTCCTGCTTTTCTGAATCGTCCTCCTCTTCTTCACTTGTCTTTTCACCATCTTCATCCCCTTCATCTTCAGACTCGCTCTCCAGCTTTTCCGAATCTTCCTTTTCTTCACTAGTCTTTTCACTATCTCCATCTTCCTCGGCACTATCCTCCTCTGCACTGTCACTTTCCACATCATTTTCTTCCTCGTCTTCACTATCTTTCACCTCTGACTCTTCATTCTCTTCTTCTGATTCTTCCTTTGAGCTCTCATTTTTGCTCTCTGTCTCTTCCTCTTTGCTTGTTTTGCTTTCGTCCTCTTCATCTCCACTCTCCTCTTCACTTTTTCTACTTATCTCGCTTGTTTCTTCTTCCTTGTCTTCCATTGTATCACTCTCCCCTTCCTCAGCCTCACTCTCTACATCCTCAGTTGCCTCACTTTTACTTTTATCCTCCTCTTCCTCGCTTTCCTCGTCCTCACTAGAACCTTTGATCGTTGCATCACCGTCAATCTCAGAATCATCATCGTCTGCAACCTTGTCAAGGGTCTTGCTCTCACTTTCCTCATCCTCACTAGAACCTTTCATCGTTGTATCGGCGTCAACCTCAGAATCATCATCGCCTGCTACCTTATTAAGGGTCTTGCCCTCACTTTCCTCATCCTCACTAGAACCTTTGATCGTTGTATCGCCGTTAACCTCAGAATCATCATCGTCTGCTCTCTTGTCAAGGGTCTTGCCCTCACTTTCCTCCTCACCGTCATCCACTTCCTCACTCTCATCCCTTCTGTTCACCAACCCCTTGCTTTCCTCCTCTTCTGATTCCTCCTCGCTTCTTCTAAATGTTCCCACTTCAGAATGAGCCTGGGTTTTGGACTCAATGCTGCTTCTTTCCAAATCCAAATCTGAAGTTCCTGATTCCGTCTTCATATTGATGGTGACAGCCGTCCTCTTGGCTTCTCTAGTCTCCTCCTGTCTCGAAACCTCATCGGACTCGCTCAGGGACGAAACATCAGATAGAGTTCTTTGTTTTGAAGGAGGTTTTGGTATATTTTGTGGTGTGGACTGGGAAAGGAACTGACTGACTGCTGATGCTCCAAGTAAACCAGCAGAACTTCCCATTCCCACATCTTGGAGAAAAGATTTCACCTTGATGAGAGGATTTTCCTTAATTTCCTCAGATTCTGACGCCGATTCAGATTTGGAGGCAGCTTTGGAGACAATGGTAGGCCCCTTTTTTGTACTTTTCAACTTGTCTTCTACTAGAAATTGGCTTTGTTCTGCTCTTGGTTTCGTTGTCTTCTTTGTAGAAACATCTTCTTGGGATGAAGATTGTTGTGAAGTTGTGGAGATCTCTTGTATTGTCTTGCTACTTTTTGAGTCTTTTTTTGAATCTGACTTTTTACTCTGTGGGACAAAAGTTTTGTTTTCTGTCTTAGCAGCATTTTTTTCACCTTTCACCCTTTGAGCTTTTGGTAAATCATCTTTTGAGATCTTCTTACCTGTTGGGTCTTGGTCCTTATGTGTGGTCTGTTCTAGATGATGTTCAACAACAATTATGGGTTTCATTTTTACTTCCTTTTCTTTCCCCACAACTTTTTGAGGCTGGCTTCTAACTTCCAATGAACGATCTTTGGGTTTTGCTTTACCTATTCCCTCTTGGTTTGGTTTTGTACTTCCTTTTGATTTTTGAGGAACCTTCTTGCTTTCGGCCTCTTGATTTGGTTTGGCTTTTCCAGTTGATTCTTTTTTAACTTTTTCCCTTGACTTCATCAATTCTGTGTGCTTGGGCAGGGAGGATTTGGATCCAGCTCTGCTTATGTCTGTGTTACTTCCACCAGCTTGGTGATATGCAGGCTTTCTGTTCTCCAAAGCGATAAGTACATTTTCCTTATCATGACCATGTCTCTTAGGGCACTTCTGGGGCGTCCCTGACCCAAGACTGTCCCCGACCACTGAACTACCACTTGAGCTTCTAAGTAATTCAGTGGGAAGAGCTTTGCGAGCTGAAAGCTCCGCCCTCTTACTATAAGGGGCGTGGCCATCACTATGCTTTCCCTTCTCCTTACCGTGCTCTTTCACAACCTTAACCTTCTTCTATTCCAGGAAGCAGAGGATAAAAAGAAGAAAGTGTTAGAGAAATAAATGAACATGCAGAGCAGGCTGAACGAGAGCAGAATGAGCTTTAAGGCTGCAAAGCAAATGAGGATGAATCAATGACGAGAAGACAGAGAACACAAGCATAAGGGGGAGGACTAAATGAGTGAAAAAAATAAAAAAAAATTTCTCCACAATCTTTGTTGGGCCATATAAATAGCTAATTTCTTGGACAACAACCCAGGTGAGCTCTTACCTTCTCCATAGGAGACAATGTGAGGGTCTTATCGCTAGGGTCCAACTTAATTATGTGAGTCTGAAAACAAAGAAACTTTTGCATTAGTCTTAGAAGATTTTATACCAACAGGTTTTTCTACATGACCCAGATTTTACAATAAATGGCAAACCAAGACAAGTACCAAATGTAACCTGTATTTACAGTAGTCTGTGTTATTTTTGCTTTTAAAAGTGGATTTCAATCAAATAATTAAATGTCTACTCCTACGCATTTTCTATAGATATTATAAAAGCTTGCATGCCTCTTTCTTAAGTGATGGTGTGCTTCTCCTACCAGGTTTAATAAGTCAGTGGTTTCTCCAAGGTCTTTTACGCTCTCGCTATCCTCCACATTGCTTCTGTCATCGAGAGATTTCTCTCTCTTTCCAGGGCCTTATCAAGAGATCAAGAGAGAGAGAGAGAGAGAGAGAGAGAGAGAGAGAGAGAGAGAGAGAGAGAGAGAGAGAGAGAGAGAGAGAGAGAGAGAGAGAGAGAGAGAATCCATAAAAACCTGAGCATAATATACACTACAGTTCAAAAGTTTGGTATTGGTTACTTAGATCTTTAAAATGCTTTCGAAAGATGCCTCACCAAGGCTGCATTTATTTAATACAGTAAAACAGTCAAATTGTGAAGTATTATTACAATTTAAAAGAAGTGAATTTCCTGTAATGGCAAAGCTGGATTTGCAGCATCATATCTCCAGCCTTCAGTGTCACATGATCAATCAGAAAACATTCTAATAAGCTCATTTGCTGCTTAAGAATCATTTATTATTATTATTAATGTTGAAATCAAATTATTAATGTTGAAATCAGTTGAACTGCTTAAGGATTCTGAATAGAAAGTTCAAAATAACCGCATTTGTAAAAATAGAAATCTTTTGTAATAATGTAAAAGTCTTTACTGACACGTAAGATCAATTAAATTTTTTCTTTGCTGAATAAAAGTATTAATTTATTTAATCATACTGATTCTAAACTTTTTAACAGTAGTGTAAATGAAAATAAATGTGTGCTTTTTGATTGAATGATGTCTTTTTATAATTGGCAGTAGCATTTGTGAATGAGGAACTTGTTTTCCTGTGATTTGAGAAAAAAAAAAACATAATTATGTTTAATACTTCATTTTTTTGACAAGGCAGTTACTTTTAAGGCTGTTGTGAGGGATCTTTCCAGGTTGGTTACTTTGGGAGTGACGGATCTGGGTGGGAACAGATAGAGATGCACTGAGATGATTTCCACCCAGAACTGGGAGTGTTCGAAACATTTGTCCAAACTGATCTGGTGAACGCTCCTGCAGAAGAAAAGCAACACACATTGCATCCACATTTAATAAGTTTATATAATTGTTTAGGTAATACAGTATATTAGACTAAACCTGGCCAAAAAATTTTATTATTCATCAGTATTTATTCATATTATTCATTCACTCTTGAATTCCACCTCCACTAGTTCAACTGATAATCAGTTGCACTAATTTTGATCCATTAGGATTGACCAACCCGTTCTCTGCGTCTGACCCGAGCCGAGAGACTCCTGTTTAGGGTGTCCCCCAGTAGTTCAGTACAGGACTTTTCAAAGTAGTCCTCTGTGACGTCATCCTCCTCCAGGATCAAATCCTCCGACCTTTCAGCCCTGGGCTTTGCCAACACAAGCATGTGACACCCACCACAAGTAACCTGAAAGCACACACACTGTTTACAGATGCCATGAAATCAAAATAGAATGTTGTGGTTTTTAGTCAATACATTTAGAAATAAATAAAAAAAAATAAAAAAAATATATATATATATTATGCTCACCAAGGAAATATTGTTTTTATAAAAAAAACATTACAAATATTGTAAAATATTATTACAATTTAAAATAACTGTTTTATATTACAATATATTCTAAAATCGAATTTATTGTTGTAATGGCAAAGCTGAATTTTCAGCAGCTCCAGTCTTCAGTCACATGATCCTTCAGAAATCATTATAATATGTTGATTCATATTTCTAATTATTATCTGCATTATTTGAACTATTTTTTGTAAGTATTTATTAACACTTTTGATCAAGGGATTCTTGCTGATATACTATATATATATATGTCAATGTCAATGTCAATGTCGTGTTTATTTGTATAGCACATTTCCAAGGCCTAGGCCTACCAAAGTACTTCACAGTATATATATATATATATATATATATATTTTTTTTTTTTTCTGACCCCAAAGTTTTTATTTGTTGTAAAAATTTACCAAAATATGTATGCTCAGGAGGAAAAACTTTTTTTTTTTTGCAATAAAAATAAAACAAATAAATAAAAATGTTCTTTCTATTATTAGAAATAAAATTAGACAATGAAAGCAATAAAAAAGGGCAAGTACTTTGATATGTCCAGACCTTCCTGTTTCAAAAGAAAATGGGTAAATGAAACAGGGTAATGAAATTTATATTGGTCAAACAATTTCAAAGCAGAAAATGTACAGTATATACCTGATAGAAAACTGTATTATATATTGTGTCATAAACAGTACATGGGCAGTAATACGTACAGAATTTACATGGCAGTTGAGGAATCTCGTACACAGGGTCGGTCTAAACTGGTTGGTGAAGTTTTCTTCTCCAAGTCCCAGTTTTCCATGCCGACCATCCCCAAACGTGTACAAAAGGCCACTGTCTGAAACCAGCACATATACAAACAGATTCGTATATATTTTATAGGAAAGACACAAAGAGGAAATTATCTCACAACACATATAGTCAGGTGTTTTACCAGTAATCAACGCTGTATGGTTCTCTCCACACTCCACATGTTTAACTCTGCCCCTCCTGAAATGCTCAACCACTCTGGGTAAACGAGACTCAAATATGAATGTGCCGTGGCCAAGCTGTCCAAACTGACCCAGGCCAAACGAATACACCTTGTGCTCTGCATTTACCAGACATGTGTAATATTTAGTCTTCACAAAGAACAAACATAGACAAAAAACAACAACCACAAAGAAAAAGATGTTCTCCTACCAGTAAGCGCCACCGTGTGCCCTCCTCCACAGGACACCTTTACCACCTTATCAGAGATGCCGGTCACCTGTTGAGGCACTTTATGATTGGCCAGCTTCTCTGTGGACAAGCCGAGCTTTCCACTGTCTTTTTCTCCGAATGTGAACAAGGCCCCATCCACTGCAACAAATGAAACAAGCATCACCTAGCAACAATCCAGCCTTCATAGAAGGTCAAATGATGAACATTTTATGAATTCAATGCCACCACACCATGCTCTAAAGATCATGGAGAGGAAGTAGGAAAGTCATCATAAATTCACATCAAAAAGTGGGATTTAAAATTAGGCTAACATTTTTTTAAATTAATATAATTTATTAAATATATCAAGTATTATTTATAAAATAATTGTAATATTATGCCATTATTTTAAATTGATTTGAAATTATTAATGTAATTTATTGTAAAACCATTATTATATGTAACTAACTAGCATAATTCACAGTAATAAAAATGGGTAAGATTTATTTTTTTATTTTTTTTATATTTCATAATCACTTACTTGATGAGTTTTCTTTTTTAATATATTTTCATATATAATTATTCCTGTGATTTTCAGCATCATTACTCTATCATTACACTAGTCTTCAGTGTCAAATGGTCATTCAGAAATCATTCTAATATGCTGATATGTTTTAGAAAGTTGAAAAGAACAGCAGTTTATTGCATCCTTGCTGAATAAAAGTACTTTTCTTTTTCCTTAAAAACATGTCCTTAAACCTTAAAATTGACCGTAAAATTTTGAGTGAAAACTTAAAAGCAAACTCTTTACTATTTATGAGTAAAATAGTATAATATTAATATAAATATTATATTATATATAGAAATATATAAATTTACATAATTAACTAAAACATGTGAATGTTGAGCATAGAGTCATTATGTATTTAACCCAAAATATTTTGGTATAATTGGCCGTGGTGACATGAAGTAATACTGTCTACAGTGGCATACATACCGGTAACAAAGGCAGAATGATAATATCCACAGGAGACCCAGGACACTCGCTTCCCCACAGAAACCTCCCGAGGAGTGAGTGCGTTACTCTCCTTTCCTAACCCAATCTGACCCTCAGAGTTATCGCCCCACATATAGAGCCTGCCATCCTCTGAGATGACGCAGAGATTTTGTTACATAACTGGTAATATTTGCAATTACATGTTATGTATGTCATATTTGCCGTTACAGACAGATGGAACAGAACTCTTACCCGTCAGGACAGCAGATGTATTGGAACCAGCAGCGAGCATTTTGATTGGCCCATGTTTGCTGAAGAAGTCCACCAGGTGGAAGGAGGCTCTGTCATCGCAGTCACCAAGACCAAGCTGTCCTTCATTATTCCCTCCAGAGGCATACAGGTTACCGCGGGCTGCTCAGCAAAGAAAACAAGTTTTTTAATTGAAGATGAATCTATAATGTTGCAAATAGTTATCTACAGTGTGATCAAAACATTTGGGGTCAGTGACTCTGAAGACTGTAGTAATGATTCTAAAAATATAGGAACAAATGTAAATTTTTCAAATATATTAAAATAGAAAAATAATATTTTGAACTAAAATAATATATCACAATTTTAATGTTCAAAAACATAAAAAAATATCTTATTGTCCCCAAAATTTTGACATTGCTGTTTGTTTCAGTGGTTTGGCATGGCAATTTCTGGCTTTACTAATGGAATAAGTAAAATAAATAAGAATATGTGAATAATTAGCGTAACAGAAAATGAAGGAAAACAAATCTGTTACCTTTTTTCCAAAAAAAAAAAAAAAAAGGATTGATTTACTAGACATAAAGCAAAAAACATAAAGCAAATATGATGAATAAACTTACATGTATAAACAAGTGAGTGAGTTCTTCCACAGGCTGCGAGCTTCACGCGTTCAGATTTTAGGGCTTTAAGAAACAAATATGGTCATTGCACGTCAGAAACGTGTTTATTATTTATATGAATATTAATGTATCAAGCTAATTTGTTAAAATGTAGCACTCCTGCACACACTTCCCCTCTGCTTTCCAGATTAATGCAGATTAGGGACCACTCCAGATTGGGATTAAGACAATCTATGGCTTTGTCCTGAAAAAATCTCCTTTTTCTTACAGCTACTTACAAACATGTAATTGTGTGTGTCAGACTATATATTACTGCTGAATAATTCAAAGTCACTCTACTGATAAACTAATGATATATTTTCCAAACAGCTAAATGTGACTGAGAGCATTGGAGAATGTGTTGAAGTGATGTTTCAGCTGTGGATGGCAGAAAACACTCAGCACTGATACATTGAGTTACCAGGGGTCGCTTCAACCCGGGGCAACGGTGTAAAAGTAGCCCAATTAAGTGGAAAAACACAGACACTGAAAGTCGTACCTTTAACACAAGTGGGTTTATTCACAGTGGTCTTTGTACCGAGGCCCAGCTGTCCCCAGTTATTGCTGCCAAACATAAACAGCTTCCCATTTTCTAAACATAATAGGAATAGTGACAGGATGAATGCAAACAATTACAGAACAAGACTTTATTTACCAATGTATCCACTAATAACATCATAAATCATACCTGTTACTAGTGCAGTGTGCTCATCTCCACAGGAAATTCTCAAAGGTACATCATTTTTTAACCAGAATTTACTGGGGGCATTGTCTGCGAATTTACTCTTTCCAAAAGTGAAGACAGCTCCGGTTTCTAAAACAAAAAGACAATTTTCATAGTACGCCTTAAATTATTCAAATGACTGCTGTTATCAAAAACAAGCTGAATTACACTATATTATGTCGTAAACAAATAATAGTTTGTATGATTTTAATTCGAAGTTTTTATTTCTCTGTATATATATATACACACACACAATCAGATGGTTAAAATTAGTTGTTTACTTTATAGAAATATTACAGAATTGAGAGCGAGAGGCGTGACCACATGGCGTGGTTGCCTTGACGACAGGAAGCCACAGGAGTCAATGAAAGAGCGGCACAGAGTATTCAATGAAATAAATAACCAAAACTCAACGAACAATTATGTGTATAAACACAGATAAATGTAAAATTTGCAGGGCATTAAAGCAGGTAAGACATATTTATACCAGTATAACACATGATTCGCTTCCACTATGTAGCACCGTCTTATTTATAGCCTATAGGCTAATCACAAACAGACAATAAGCCTAAAGAAGCGTGTAGCAACTGCAAATAACAAAACTGTTTACGTCGACCACTAATTTACTACATCATATTTTACCAGGGATCTCATCTTCTGTCTCTCCGGCCATCTCCCCCGACTAATCAGCTTATTTACGCTGGGCGCTTGAAATGTGTGACCAAGAAGTTTCTAAACCGACAAGAACTTTCCGCTCTAGATTTACTTCCGCGTTGAGGTGCCACGTGTTACTGGCTGTGCCAAGCACAGTAACTTGCTGCGACATTTAGATTATAGCCTATATATTTATTGGTACATTATTTTATGTTCTTTTATAGTAACTTAAATAATTGCAAATATTAAGTTATGACTGTATACATAAGATAAACACACATATATATTATATTAAACAATCGTGAGGAAAAGTTAATGAGAACATAGCTGCACTACTATGTTTTTCTTTATCTGTATATTTTGTCTAATATAGTCACAAATATTCAATAATAATAATTCGCAGGAAATTATGCTTTTGAGTGGCGTTCACTGTCTGTCAATTTTACAGTGGAGTGGCTACACGGCGAAGAATCTCTAAGTAAAACGCCTCTTCCGGTTAGTCTGTAAACAGTGATCTCATCCCTAATCTTGCTCCGTCTGCCTTTAGTAGAATCTCACAGCATGTGCGGCGCGCTGTCTTCAGAGAAATGACCGTGAAAACAAGTGTATTGTTCTCGTTACCTTACCATCCGCCCGCACTTTTGACATAATGACGACATTTACCATTTTAGATGGGGGTCACTGAGTTAGCCTGGAGCATGCTAGCATGCTAATTAGCCTGTAAAGGGGGCAAACAAGCAGCTGCCTGGTGCAAGGTCTGTTAAAGCTGCTTTAAAGTTTTTTTCACCGGGTATTCTGCTTGGAGAATAATGGAAGGAGTGCTTTACAAATGGACAAACTATATGACAGGTAAAAGCGAATGGCACTGTGGACACTTGAGCTGCAGTTAGACAGGACTCTGCAAGTATGCACAAGATGTACTCAGCTTGTATGATGATGAGAGCTGCTGATATATGCAACTTTGTTATATTGCGTTTTTCTTTTCTTATACGCTGTGTCTTTAAGGTGTTTTTGAATGTCAAAGCTCCATGTTAAGTTATAGGAGCCTAATATGCCAAGAATGTCATTTGTCAATTTTCTTTTCCTGTCATGTGATGGTATGATACCTGATTGTATGGAGTAACACGAATAGTCATATAAGCTCAAGTTTAGAATATCCAGAAATGGCATGTTTGTTTGATTTAAATTTTTTTATTTTTTTATTTGATAATGTTTTTTGAAAGGATGGCAGCCAAGGTGGTTTGTGCTGGACAATGGCATTATTTCATACTATGATTCAGAAGATGATGTGTGCAAAGGCAGCAAAGGCAGTATTAAGATGTCAGTATGTGAAATTAAAGGTGAGATGATTGTGTGTCTTATCAGCAAAATCTTCCTTCTATTCCTTACGAGAAAATAAACTGGTTATTCTTATGTATTTTTTTGACTTCCTCATGTTTACTTCAGTTCACCCAACGGACAACACCCGTCTGGAGCTGATCATACCAGGAGAGCAGCATTTTTACGTGAAAGCTGTAAATGCAGCGGAGAGACAGAAGTGGCTGGTGGCTCTGGGGAGCTCCAAAGCTGGACTCATTGACACTAGAACCAAAAAAGAAAGGGGTAGGCTTCCCTGAACATTTTCTTATCTTTTCATATCATTGGTCTTTTATTATTCCCTTATGCCTTTTCATAGCAAAAGACTCAAGTCACAATAAATGATTGGTAACACTTTATAGTAACTAAAATAAACTAACGTTTTCATTGTCATGTTCATCATCTATATTTTTAAATATTTGGTTAAAAAACGTTATTACATTATAATGTGGAATATGTCGTTATTTACTTACAATTATAAAAACAGTTATTTTATCAGACTTAAATCATAATAATTAATAAACATGATTTAAATAAATATTTATACTTCTGCGTCGTAGTGCGTCAACGCGTGATTACACAGAAGTATAAATGAAAACCAACAGGTAGTCTATAGCGTAGAGGCTCTAGCAGAAGTATAAATCTGCCTTAATAAACACACACACACACACACATTCAGATCAGAGACAAAAGGCTTTCATGTACTGAATTCATGTTTCGTGGTTATACACCAGTAATCCCAACTGCTAAGAAATAAGAAGGACCATTAACAGTTGCACTTCCTCTCCTAATGGGGTTTTGCAGATTTAACAGAAACCACAGAATCACTGAAAACCAAGATGTCGGAGCTGCGTCTGTACTGTGACTTACTAATGCAGCAGGTGCACACTATTCAGGAGTCTGTGGAACAGGAAGGAGAATCTACTGTGGCCAGCACTGAGGTTAGACACTCACTCAGCTTTTTTTTTCATTCGAACCTCAGTAATCACAGCAATTATTGCAGATAGGTGGATCTCATATAAAAAAAAGGTTATCATAGAAATCTAGCCTTTTAAACCAAATGGTTGTATTTTCTGCTATATTTTCCAGACAAGTAATGAGGCATCCTCATTACTGAGTGCCACCTGTGAAACCTTCATCAAAACACTGGAAGAATGTATGAAAATCGCCAATTCCAAGTTCCAGACTGACATGTTGCAATCCAGTCCATCTGATTCCATAATGTCCCCCGTGTCCCCCTCTCCCGTCCAGATGTCTCGGGTAAAGACGCAAGCACAAACCACACACAGTTTACCTTCATTTTTTTTTTTACCTGGATAAAGTTCCTTTTGCTATTTTTGTGCAAAATGGTTATTTTATTTGAGAATTAAGTTATTTGGTTGAATCTTGCAATATCATTTCTAGGTCATATTTGACCTCAAAATCAATAGGGGAAAAAATATAAAGAGTATCTATATGGGAAAAAATATAAAAAACATGTAGCTTGTTTTTTTTTTACATTACATTTGCATTATTTCCATGACAGTTAAGTTCATTTATCAATTAAAGTGCTGTAAGCAATTTCTGAGAAACACACACCTCCCTTCATTTCTCCGCCCCCAAAATGCACAAACATGCAATGCAAAAGTGGATGTCTCTTTATCATAGCTTAAGCGATGTACAATAAAACTTTGGGAAAAATAAAGCAAAGATGACAAACAAAAAATAAACATACAGTACACAAGTACAAGCAATAGTTTGATATCTCAAAACCAATGTTACTCACGTATGGAGCTGAAATAACACAACCTCGCCGTCCGCTTTCCACTTAGGTCTCTCCAGTGCTGGAAAGCTTCTCTAATATTAACGCAGGTCCTAAAGCTCTTGCCTGATCATAACCCTTCTTTCCCCAATGTTATTCTTATGAGCTTTTCTCTTTTGTAATGTCTCTCAGCCATCTCTCCTTTTACAGTATCCCTTCAAATATCCCTCTTGCTCACTCTCTCTCACCCTACATCATGAGTGGACACGTGGCTACAAGTCGGTTGTTGTGCTCGGTCCTATCCACTTTCCACAGCATTTTCAGAAATTGCTTACTGCGCCTTTAAATTAAGCACAGTTTCTCGTACAATTAAATCTTTGCCTATTTAATAATTGATTTTTAATTTTTAGCATCACAGTAATGGGAACTGGAAGGAAATATGCCTCAACTAAAAAAGGTTTTATTTTGTTCATGGAAAATAAATTACTAAATTTTAAATTTTGGAGTGAAATATGTCTTGAGCATGTGCTTTATTCATCCATTTATTGGGAAGATGTATGACAGAGTTATTTTAGTATTATTTATATATTATAGCATTTATCAATCTTTTTAATTTATCATTTATTGTTATATTTTTAGTTTTCATTTTAATATATGTATATATTCTATTAACTTGAAATTATTTTATTTTTGTAATTTTTGTGCTTATTTTATTTCAGCTAGGAGAATGCTACGAGAATGTTTCTAGTTTTCGTTTTCATGTGATATTTGTATTTTATTTTATTTCCGTTAATGAAATAGTTTTGGTTAGTCCATTTTAGTTAACCATAACACGACTGGTCTGGCATGTGATTGTTATTTTTTTTTTAATTCTTATTGTGTAGATGAAGCGGTCGATCAGCCATCCCGGAACCTACAATTATGAAAGGTACACAATGTTTACTAAACACACAGACTTCTTGTTTTCAGTCCAGACAGTGTGACTATAGATTACTACAGAGTGGCTATAAATGCAGGTGCTGTTGTCTTTCTAGGTCGAGCTTGCCAAAAGAGTGCATGGCATTGCAGAAGTCCACCCAGAGGCGGACACGGACATGCTCCGATACAGAAGCTCACAGCGACAGAGGGGCCGAGGATATGGAGCGTGAGTCTCACACATACACACACACCATTGAACCTACACACAGATCAGATTCAAGGTCTGAGTCGCCTAAATGTTTAGCTTGCTCCAAATTTTGTTGCTTAATAAATAATTATTGTTGTAGCCCTAAAATGATCTGCAGTAATCTAAACAAAAGTTTTTTACAGGCTTGATGTTTCACAGAGCCAACATCAACGGTGACTCCACTCCGAGTATCCCCGAAGAGGTTGGAACGAGCACAAAGTTCCTGTCGGAAACTGACACTCCGGAATCTGACCTTTCCCTCTGAAGCACGCGAGACAGATTATGAGATGGGGAATAAAAGGAAAACACGTACTGCTATGCAGTCAAAGATTGCAGCATTGTATAGATGGATTTTACTTCTAGTGTTGTATTTCTTGATGATGAAGAATTCGGCGGCACTTTATAAAAACAGATGATGAAGAAAACAGTCTGATTTGAATGTTTATACTCTTCCAGGTTTAGGAAATTCGTTTGCCTTGATGCTAAGATGTTCCTGTTTTTGTGATACATAATTATTACTGTATCCCTTCAGTGAAGAGTTGAAGATGTTTGTACTGGATTTTTAATGTGTTGTGCAGTTGCCTTTGTTAAATGGGAACCTTGCTGAAAAGGTTTTTGTTACTGTGCCAAGGGGTTGTGCGTATGTGCTCACATTAACTTCAAAATTTGTTTTTTTTTATTCACTCGGCATGCAGTGTTGTTCATTCGTTTATGATGCAGAATACATTTATTTATTTTTGTATGTCACTAGAGTATCCCCCTCCCCCCCAAAAAATTTTTTGGCCTTAATTCTTCGCATGGAGGAGTTTGATCTATTAATTATTGTAATGTTTGGTAAAATTATTAAAAAGATTTAGCAAGATTATTAATTGTTTTATCTCCAAAAATATAAATGGGTCTGGTTACACTTTACAATAAGGTCCCATTCGTTAACGTTAAAGCATTAACTAACAGAGCAATACATATGTTACAGTATTTATTATTCATTGTTGATGTTGGTTAATGAAAAATACAGCTGTTCATTGTTAGTTCATGTTAGCTCAGGTCCATTAAATAATATGAACAGATACCACTTTTTATTTAATTATTGTAAATATCGAAATTAACAAACTATAAGTGTCTTTTTTTCACATGTTAATTAATTCAGTTGATTAATGTTAACAAAATGGTACCTTATTGTAAAGTGGATAAAGTTCATAAGTATGAATTGTTTTTTTTTAAATATTATCTGTAATCATGTTTTCCTCAAACACAAAGGCAAATAGAATTAATAATACATAAGAAACATTTTCATGCAGTCATGTTTTTATTTGAGAGAAAAAGAGTGGAGGACATTGAATAATTAGTTCCCATGTTACCTAACAGACGGCAGATCCCTTTACAGCAGCAGTATGTTTATCTACCTCTGGTCATCTGTGTTTGCCATCTGATTTCCACATGAAAACAGTCTATAATAAGTGAATAATTTCTCCAGAGGGAGATTAGCTTTCTCAGCGGGGAGGTTGTCCTGCCGGCCATCACCAGGCGGACAACCAGCAGGTGCAAATGAGCACTGGGAATCAGCATGAAGACTTGCTGTTCCCAAATGATAAATCTGTATCAACAAAGCAGAAATCCCCTGGTGTTTCTTGAAGAGTTGTGAAAAACAGTCATTATACACTACACAGAGCATGCCTGTTTTGGGTTCTGGCTGTTAATTTGTGGTACTGGCCCTCTCTGAACAGCAGGCTTGAAATTCAATCTTAAAAGTTGGTGATGTTGGACTAAAGTATCGAGCAGAACTTAGTATTAATGCCGTCTGAATGAAGACCATTGTGTAGATGTTTAAAGTCAGTGGGGATGTCGTACGCTGGTGTGACATCGAACTGAATTAAATAATCAGGGGAGATTTTGTCTGCCTGGAGAGATGATGATGATGCATGACTTTTTTCGTTCTCAACCTTTTCCTCAACTTTTTTGTCCTCTTGCTGCACACAATTTGCATCTTCTTTGCTTTCCTCTGTGCAAATGACAGTTTGAACAAAAGCATACATGTAAATACACTGCGTAAATATTAAGCAGCACAACTGTTTTCAACATTGAAAATACTAAGAAATGTTTCTTGAGCAACAAATCAACATATTAAAATGATTTCTGAAGGATCATGTGACACTGAAGACTGGAGTAATGATGCTGAAAATTCCGCTTTGCCATCACAGGAATAAATTACACTTTAAAATATATTCAAATCGAAAACAGTTATTTGAAATCGTAATAATATTTAACTGTGTAATGTAACTGGGTCTTCTCCACCAAAAGGCCTTAAAGGAGTAGTCCACTTTTTAAAAAACTTTTGCTGATAATTTACTCACCCCCATGTCATCCAAAATATCCATGTCATTCTTTCTTCAGTCGAAGAAATTAAGGAATTACATTCTAGGAGTTTTCCTCCATAAAATCAAACAAATGATTATTAATAATCAATCAAACAAATCCAACAAATCTTTTTTTCGTGTCATTTGATTCATTCCACGAACGAAATGAACGAATTGACTCAGGAAACGATTCGTTCATTTTGATGAACGAGTTCGAACAGGAGAGTCACGAACGCGCATCACAGAAAAGAGCAAGGCGACCATTTGAGCTTATAAAACTTAAACTGGAATCGTTTAAAGCCCTTTGCACAGTTTGCAGTTTGCACTGAAGCTGTCTTTTGGACCTTGAACCGTTTGGTTGCAGTACAGTGCATTATATGGAGAAAAATCCTGGAATGTTTTCATCAAAAACCTTCATTTCTTTTCGACTGAAGAACGAATGACATGGATATCTTGGATGGGGGTGAGTAAATTATCAGCAAACGTTTTTTTTTTAAAGCGTTTTACATTTTTGTTTAAAGTGAACTTCTAGTCCTTTAAAAAGACCCAGCTAACCCGAACCCTAAAATCTGTCAGAAAAATAGGAACGTGATGAAATGAACAACATGTTATACTTAAGTGAATGGAAGGCCAATGGGTCAAAAGAAAGTAAAACAAAGTCATCACTGAGGTCAAATGACTCCAATAAAAACATATGTTAAGTTAGTTTTCACAATTTCCTCACCCTTCGAGTCATCTGTCACAACCTCTGTGTCTTCCTTGTACATGCACGTCTCTCCGTCGACCAAACCCATGATCTGTTCATCGCTCTTTTGGAGGTTCTTTAGCAGGAAGTATGTTCTCATCAACCCTTTGCCTTTCACCTCGATCTCACCCCTCTCGGCGATCTCAAAGATTCCTTTGTCCTTTAACACACTGTGGACAAGAAGTGCTTTTCTTAGATCTGGATTCCAGTGACACAGAACGCCTCAGCGCTTTTGTGATTGAACTTATCAAGACCTCACTTGTCTCTTATGCTCACCAAGGCTGCATTTGTTTGATTAAAAAGTACAGTAAAAACAGTAATATTGTGAAATATAATTACCATTTAAAACAACTCATTTATATTTTAATATAGTGTCAAATGTAATTTATTCTAGTGACGGCAAAGCTGAATTTTCAGTATTATTACTCTAGCCTTCAGTGTCACATGATACAGAAATGTTGATTTGGTGCTCAAGAAACATTTCATATTATTATTATTATTAATGTTGCAAACAGTTGTGCTGCTAATATTTGTTTTGGAAACCATTTTTTCCCAAGGTTGATGAATAGAAAGTGTATGTGAAATATTTTGTAGTATTTTAAACGGCTTTACTGTTACATTTAGGCTATGTGACAATAGGAATCTAAACCCACTGAAAAACTATCATTCACCTGTATGTCATGGGGCTCACATGTATGTGATCAGGGACTCCGTGGCTCTCCATCCGAGAGGCTGTATTGACAGTGTCTCCAAACAAGCAGTACCGTGGCATCTTATCACCTACAACACCAGCCAAAACTGGGCCGGTGTGCAGGCCAACTCGGATCTAGATTGACAAATCAATGAATTAAACAAATTACAAGAGCGTATTGAGCTTCTATTTACATAGAGCCGACTGTTTAAACACACACATACCTGTATGGGCTGTCCTGTGATAGGGCTAGTCACCTCCCTTGCAGCAATTCTCATACCCAGGGCAAAGTTTGCCACCCGCTCCGCATGTGTTTCTGTAGGAATGGGCACACCACCAACCACCATGTAAGCATCACCTATCGTCTCTACCTGTTGTGAGAGTGTCATTTTGGTATAATTTCATTTTTTTTTCTCTTTGATTAATTGTAAGCGAAATATCCAATATATTTTGAAGGTTTTCCTTATAATTTATGTAAAAAAAATAATGTGATTTATATAAATAAAATACAGATTAAATATATTAAAATTATAAAATGAAGTTATATCATTATAAAATATTTTGATTATTATTATAAAATAATATAGAATTTAATAAATATATAAAATATAATCAAGTCACTATAAAAAATATTGTTGGTTTAACTTAAAAAATTAAGTAACCTGGTTGCCTTAAAACTTTTAAGTTCATTGAAATTGAAAAATTGAGTTTATTTAAATTAAAAAAATCTATTATATTAAATTTAAAATAAAGCAATATCATTAAATTATATTAAATAATACAAAATATAGAATTTAACATATTAATTTAATATATAATCAAATAAAACTATGTGTGTTTCTGTGTGGATAGATGGATAGATAGATAGATAAATAATTGGAACAACCAATCCCACACAAACCTTATAAACAGTATGAATGTTTGTAAGACGATCAAATCTGGAATACATTGAGTTGAGCATGTTGACTATCTGAATGGGTTCACAGGCTGCGCAGATGTTAGTGAAGGTGACCACATCACTGAATAGGATGGTGCACACTTTGAATTCACCTAAAAGATTAACAGAAAGAGTCTGATCCATTTAAAGAATGGCAAATGACAAGTGTAATTAGTGGTGTTCCTCTGGTTTCTTTATACCTGCCTCTACTCTTTTCCCCTCTTTAAGCTGGTTGGCAACGTGTGTCGGCAGCATGGCATAAAGGAGCTTTTCAGATTTTTGCTTCTCGATCTCTAAATTGCGTGAGAGGATTCTTAACTCCTCCTTCTTCCTCTCTAGCTGATTGGAGAGCTCGATCTCTGCCAGCCTCTGCTGGTTGAGCAGGATCAGATCTCGCGTGGTGTCGTGCTGGGCGATGTCTGCCAGGTGAAGACCCCTTTCCTCCAGTTCTTGGAGGCTTCGTAGCTTAGGAGAGCATAGATAGATCATGCAGTTCAGTGACTCCATCCACATCATCTGTCCTAAAACACACACGCATGCAAATTAATCATCAACCAATATGATATATGTAAAAAGTTTGGGAAATTACATAAAGATCATTTTATTCAACAAATTGTCCACTAAACAAGGCTGTTGGAGAATTTCAGAAGAAACGAAGGAACTTGACTAAACCACTTTTCTTAATTAGAATCGGTCTACGCACATTTATCATAGCACAATTATCTATAGTGTAATAAATCTCTGTGGATAAAGTACCTCGCAGTTTGAGGGTGACCTGGTTTTTCTGGATATCTGGTAACATTTCTCTCCTGGTCTTCAGCACAAACTGGCTGTTGATGAACTTTTGGATGCTCTGGATGTTGCAGGTGACCTCTGGGTGAACAATGGTGAAGTATTCATCCAGACGGATACCTGAGGTCTGCAGTCCGGGAACAAACTTCTGAATGTTGACACCTGTGTGCTTCACCACCAGCTAAAAAGAAAAGGTTCAAACGGTTCAAAATGACTCAATTGGTTTAACATTTGAATCATTAAAAAAAAGAAATGCAGAGTTAGGGCCGGTTCACACAGAACGTGGTTTTGCTGTTAAAAACGCGAGATGCAGGTCAGTGGAACGGAAAAAGTGTTAAAAGTTGAA